TGACCCGGGCGCACCCGGCCCGGCCCGGCACGCGCCTTGGCCACACCAGCTGAAGAGGGCGAGTTGCAGAGCAGCTTCAGGAGTTTGTTGTAAAAGAAACCCGGAACCAAATACACGGAGTTTCTTGACACGAGCTGGGCACCCGACAGCGCCATCCTAGCACAAAATGCCCCAGGTCTGCCCCAGCAGCCAGCCTTACCTGCACATAGCCATTTGCGCCTACGAACGCGCACTCAAGACTAAAAGGCAGTCCCGTTTGCTCCCGAAGTGCGTCCCAAAGCATCACGCAAGCAAGAGGCACTTCTGAAAAGCAGTGCCACAAGTACACACGTGCAGAGGCATCTCAGCTTGCACGGGGCCCTGGAGCCAGGCACCTCTGCTACCAATTGCAGGGTAGCCATGGAGCTCTCTGCAGGCTGAAGGCCATCTTCAAGGGAAATCCCTCCTGGGAGTTTTTCTCGCTGCTGGCAACCAGTCTTCACTGGACCGGAGAGGGCAACTCTCCTTGCGCCCCCGCAAGCTTCACACAGCCTTGGGATGTGAGAGAACAAGGTGCTTCTGCCCTAAGTTTGGGCAGAAGTACGCATGTGCAGTAGCAGTATTGATCCAACCACAAGACTCTCCGTTTTCAGGTAGACAACACTTTCATCTGCTTTCATCAAAGCCCAGTAAAAATCAACACAAACATCACTACAAGTTTGTTTTTTGTGAACTGACAGAAGGAGATCCATCTGATCTACCTATTTGTCAATTTATCCTGAAGTCCACTGTTACTCTGCTCTACTTAAGCCAGCACTGGTATTTCATTTCACGCAAAGATTTTCTGAAATAGGGCATAAAAACTGTTTAAAGTGACAATGTTAAATTTTACTTTAAAAATAGCCTTTGATATGGCTAACATTTCAAAACAAATATTGGAAAAGTAGCTCCAAGAATGCAGGACTATCAGTATTCAGCCAACTGAAGACACGTTTGAGTTCCTTCACTATTTTCTTTGTAATTAAATGACACAGTTGTCTTAACTTCCAAGATTATTAACATTGTACATGTCCATGGTAAAATTAATCTGAAAGAACTCAAAAAACTTTGCAAATTGAGCAAATTTGGGTGTGAAACTATTTGCTCATATTCTGCTTCTGATACAAGAAGAGATTTCACAGTTCTTTTCTCCTTTCAAGATTTTTGGTAGTGTCAGGCTGTGATGTACAAAAACCTTTACACTTGATATACCTTGGTCTGATAAAAAAAGTTTCATCAACGGTACTTCCAGTAGACGAATGTTACTCAGCTGAAAAAAAAACTGTGAAAATAAACCCAGTGTGAGAAGAACAAATAACTGATTTAGCTGTAGCTCAATCACAGAGGTTTCACTTTACTTGCTAGCTGTGAGTCAAATGTTCCAGCAAAATTTCTTCTTATTTCTGTATGGTGACTGGGCTAGTAATCCAGACTCAATATTTGCAACATTAATGAGCCTTTCGAAATGAGAGACAATGGACAACTGTGGAATGATTAGGTTTGCCTACAAAGCTGGCACAAAGGAAAAATAGATTTGCAGCCTCATACAGAGCATGATTTACAGCGTGAATCTTTAAACCAGGATCATAATTTTACGTACAGTCTGGAACCGCCAGCTGTTAGTTTCCAGTTCTAATTACGATCATAGAATACTATTTCACAGCGTATCCCTGGTCTCTTTGCCAGTACAACTATACTTCATGTGCTCAGGCTTTGCAAATAGCAAGTTTACCACATTCTCTAAGCACTTCCTATAACCTTGAGTCTTTCAAATGGCTCCAGCAACCTACAGAGAAGACTCATGCAGAATCCAGAACAACGTGCAGAGCAAGGAGTACTGGAACATCTTCCTCAACTGCCTTCAAAGAGCCCTCTCTGCCAGGAACTCAGAGCATCTTTAATATTTAAAATATCAGTAGTAATAAATACATAAACAAGTAGAACCAATAAAGCATGTTGTATAGTGCATAAAGAGAATAAGCAAAAATTATGCCCTGTAAAAGAAGGTAAGATTTGTAGGTAAGTCAAGGTAGTGAGTATTATGTCTTTACTAAACCGTGTGTTAATCTGTACTAAATGTACAGATTTAATGTGTACTTTTATCGAGGGTATGACCCCGCAGGATTCCGAATCTCACGGTATATGAATTGTTAGCCTGTGCAACTGCAGCACCTTAATTACACACATTCCTCTCCTCATCCCTTATGGTTACACCTATGTGTTGCCACTCGCCTTTACTTATGAGGAGTAGTAATTAGAACAATGAAATGGAGAGGTCGCGCCTCAACAGGTGCTCAAGCATGCAAATGGCAATCAGAAAAGATGAAGCAGGGATCCCCAGAACACCAGCTGGCCAAGAAACTCGGGTACCTGCAGGCTGCTCCCTGGGCTCTCCAGTAGGGCAGTATCATTCTTAATGGCTCCACCTTCTGCTTGGATCTGCATACTACAATGTGAGAGACAGGGATGTGATAAAACATCCCAAAAATAATTCCACCATGGATCAAGCCACAGGCAGAGCAATTCAAGCCCTGACTCTGTCCTGCTCATGTTCCTGCCTGTTACTGATACTTCAAAGTGGAACTTCAGCAACTTTGTGAACAAAACAGCAGAAGTCAAAGTATTTATATATTCCCAACATGAAAGTTTCTAGAAATAAAGACTTTGAGATACTGAGGCCAGACAACAAAATTGGTGACCATGACATTCAACCACAGTAAGACATTCTGTAGGCAAGATATTTCAAAACTCAAAAGTAAATGAAGATGTTACTCTAGACAGCAGTAAACAGATTCAGTAGGAAAATGCTATTCCACAGCCTAACTTTTTGGGTATGGAGGATTCACAAGATAAACAAGTGTTGTGTTTAGGGGGCATCTCTAGGGTTGTCCTACTCACGCCAAGCATCCTCCTTACAGATAAATGCTTTGTGGTCACACATATGCTGTTTGCACTCCTTTCTTCAGAAGTGGTGGAGAGAAGAACATTAAGATCACAGAAATGTCGTCCATTTTCTCTATCATTCATAACTAAAAGAGGAATTCAGGAAAAAGCGTATATATATCTACCTTAAATGAGACACACTATTCAAAAATTCTCATCCACTGCCAACGAAGATCATTCCTATGCTTCAGAACTGTAGACAGAATAAGTGCTGAATGGCTCACACACAGGAAATAATTATACATTCAGTTAAACACAGCTATAAAGAAATTTCCAGGTGCTAATGAAAACAGGTTTTAAGTTAAGGTAGTCATACAACACACATGTACACTGAGAAAAATGCAAACCAAAAACATTGCTTACACAGCCTTCTCCACAAGAACTGACATGAAAATTTGTTATCACAGAAGTTTATGAAAATACTTAATCGTGTACTGAAGGCCTTCTTCAGATAAAAACAGTAAAGTAATAAATGTGGTATAAGAACCTTTAAGAAATAGGAAAAAAAGGCTTCTGTTTTGCATTGCAGTAAATCATTTACGTGGAAAACATTAAAATAATGTCACCAAGCACTTTCTGTGAAAACACAGAATCACATTTCCAAAAGGTGTATTTTTTAAACACATCTCAAAAGACAGACATTTTTAGCTTTAGAATCATACTGAGTGTTTTATTTCCACATTAACTCCAACATACTCTATGACTTTAACTTCATGACACTAAGATAACCCTACGACTTTTTTTAAAAAAAAAACAGATGGTAAGACAACTTCCGAGGCTAAGCCAAACTAACTTCTTTTGTTCAAGCACTTACAGTAGCTTACTTTCTGCTAAGTAATTTGTATGTAAAAATACACATCTTAAAGAAATACACACGATGACAAAGTAATACCGAGATTCTACACTTTATTGCATCAGATAGATACAAACTAATAAAGGGACTGGTGTTCACTTTCTAAATAGCAGTGGTAGCTAAAGTCATTGTTCCTTCAGTTGCTTTTATGTGTTTCCTACTACAAGCTTCCAGCTCCCACCTCTGTCAACAGAACCGCTCATGCTGAATACTCACTGATCTGGTTTAGAGAAAGTCAACTGGGTCAGCCTACATAGTCTGACCTACTCCAGCTGATCTGGTCAAAGCAGGTAAGGGAGCACTGACATGTACTCAAATGACAGAGCTGTAAGTACAGTGGCATCTGGCACACAAACAGATGAGGGTAGAGATGGAGAAATCATTCCAGCAAGTTTGGAAACAAAAAAACAAGTTCTGGACTTAGCCTCGTACATACAACATAACAGGTACACACTTGCTTGTTTAAAAAACAAGTAAACATCAAACTATTTCAAGTACAATTAAACAACAAAACAGATGCTTCTATAGTAGCCACTTTTTTTTTAAAGATTTTGCAATTAAAAATTTATATTTCATACAGAATTCAACAGTTTGTATAAGAAATATCCTGTCATCATAAATAATTTGCCTGATAAATATTTAATCATAATAAAATGTCTTCATTTAAGCAATTTGTTGTGAACAGAAAAAGTCTAAACAGAATATTTAAAATATTTACACTTTACAACTTCCTCCTCCCATACGTGCACGCATAAAATATTGTTATTCAGAAATACAAAATAAGTTTAAAGAGGAAGACGGGTAAACAATAAAAACGTTCAGCATCTTGCATATTTGCACATCATTCTTATTATTATTGCACTATGAGACATTTTATTTAGAGTAAATTTAGCGCTACTGACTGGTAACAATTTCACAATTACAAAGAAAATTGAAGTTCTCGGTCTCTTTGGAAAGACCAAGGATGAAACAGCATTTGTCTGACTAACCTGGAGGAATCTTCTCATCAACACGTTTATGAACATTTTTAAAATCAGTGATGTCATCTCGTATCTCATCACAAGGAGTCCTTAAGGGCTGGTCCATCACCTCTTACTGAAGTAATTTTCAGTGACAACAACAAAAACTTGACTGTGCTGTCTTCCTTTGAAACTGCGAGACCAATCAATCTTTGCGTCCACTGAGAACACAGATGTTCACAAGCTGAAATCAAAAAACTCATCTCTTCTTTGTACCACACAGCTAATACCACAATTAAATTTGGTGTTGAATTGTCCAAGGAAGTGTCAGCCTGAGCTACTATGGTTACCACGGCCAATACAACCAGCACAGAGAAGAGAGCAGGTCAGATGTGGGAAGAAGGCCTTCAGTTAAGCACAGTGTGCACTCTAGCTTTCCTGCTTTCTAGGGAGCTTGCACTACAGCCTTGCTCATGGCAGCTCTTATCTTCCTGTTCCATTTGTTGAACAGCAGAGAGAAATCATGAGGCTGCTCCTAAGTTCCACATGTTTATATACAAAGTCAAAGTCCTAGTGAATTTTGGTTCTCAGAAACAACTAGGGAAAAAAGAAAACCCTACCTCAGTCGTACCTCCTCTTCTACCTCAAACATCATGCTCTTTTTACACAAGCATACAATGGCTCCAAAGTGACAGGCACCTGAATCCAGCCTACACCAATGCTAAATTAATTTACAGTCATAAAACACTATGAAATACTTCATATAGAATATGTTGCTACACAGTCATTTAAAAAACATTTCAATTGTATGCTTGGAATTGCTCGACTTGGCCTTTTTTGATACTGACTGTGAAGCTGTTAGTCCAGACCTAAAGTTAAAGAAAGAAAAAAAAAAAACCAGTAAGAGGTTAGAATATACAATGCATACCTACACAACTTTTACAATAATGAATATTTTTCTAAACGTTTTTATTTTAAAATGAGTTGTATGCTCAAGTTTCCAGAAAGCACTTACCTTTTTGTTCCTTGTGGTGGATTTGTGCATTGCTGTCCTCTGCTTAAACTTCCTGAAAAATCATTGGAAACAACCAAAATTAATTACTTCAATAAAGAAAGAATGCTTCAGAAATTACATACATGGCAGAACTTTTAAAAGAACGGTTTTGGGTAAAGCTTTTTTTTTTTTTTAACATAACATAATTTATCTCAAGGAACAGATAACATTTTATTATCTGCAGTTTGAGCACCGTAGTTTATATTAACATTTTTGAAGGGGAAAAACAAAGAGAGCCTTTAGTGTATTGAAATCTAAGGGATTAATTTGAACCTTGTTGCAGTTTTCAGAAATATTTCAGCATAACGTAGTTGATTTTCAAGGTGGTTATTCAAAACGATATTTTTAATTATTTTATCCTGCAGGGGGAATAAAGAATCTTTGCCAACAGTAAGTTTTTCATGCAAACATGCACTTTACAGAAATGAGCAGTAATTCTCATGTCACCCTTGTGGCAACTGAGAGTGCACTGTGTAACTACCGTCACATTCATAAATCTAGTTTGTCAATAAAATTGATGTGACATTTTTTAAATAAAAGTGTTCACTCTTACACAGACCTTAATCAAATGAACTTGTTACAAAAATCTTAAAGCCCTGGAAAGTTCAAAGTATACCATTACGAAATTATTTTAATTGTACAAGAAGATAATTTGAACAATCAAATATATCCTAATGTGCATACTTACCAACTCCGTTTGAGTTTTCCATATTGTAAGTTTTAGTAGGAAAATCTTTTTTTTCTGTCAGCTCCTGTATAAGGCCTTTATTTAAGCAGACATCCACATGTCTGTTAAATGACACAAGACTGGTGGTCTTCTGTTCTGAATTACAAACTGGACAAACAAGAACACTGCGTTCTTTCGCTTCAAGGAAACAGGATGAACTAGGTTGTTCTGCATGTTCAGTCTTTTCAAAACAGTCTTCACTGTCTTGTGGAATTCTTTTGGGGAAGAAACACTGTTTCATACACACATTTCTAGCAATATCACTGAGATTGCTAGGCTGTCTTTCTCTGTGAGGTTTATCAGATAGTATCTGAGTGAATTTTTCTGTGCTACTGCTAGTAGGGTTGTCAGATGTACTTGCAGACTCGTCTGTTCCTGCTAATTGATCTGGTTTTTTTTTTTTAGGTTCATCGGCATTTTCATTTTTAAATTGTGGAAGAAAGTTATGTGTATTTTCTCTTGAATTGTCATTCTTGGATATTTCCATGGTATCTTTAAGAAGAGTCCCATTGAGGCACTCATCAATATGCCTGTTAAGCTCTTCCAAGTCACTGCTGCTTTGCTCCTCAAAGCAAACAGGGCAGGTGAAGATCTTACACACACTAGGATTCTGTAACTCTGTGACTTTCTCTGTTTTTTCCACAAAATTTGCTAATGATTTCCTATCATGAAAGAGCTGTTTATCTACAGTTTCATTTGGAGAAAGATTCTCACTGTTTAGTTGCCTTGCAGCTCGCTTTTTATCAAAAAAACTCCCTCTTGGAGATGCTTCAGAATTTTTTGAGAAATATTCTTGGTGGGACTTCCCCAGCTGAAGCCTAAGAAAATTATTTTCTTTTCCTGATTTTAAGAAACTCATAATGCTTTTTTGTTGGTACTTCTTCTCCTCTTCACTTAGAAATCCTGATACTCGTACACCTAATGATGAAAAACAAACTTATATAATACCAATTTTACAAAAACTTGATACTATTTCTTAATTAACACCTTTTGAGGTATACATTCACTCAATAGAAGTGCATTTTATCTCTAAATAGAGCCTATAATACCTGCAGATGCTAACAATGGATCACAAGGTACATACATTTTTATCAGATTCAAACATTTGCCCAACCATATTATTCATTTCAATACCCATTAAGTTTTATCTGATTACACCATAACGTGAGGCTATAAACTTAATACAGTTACAAAGAATTTGCATGAATTTTCGCCACTAAAATATTTTTTCTTCAGTGCATTCCAGTATCATAGACAAATAAGCTTTATATATCACAGAATGGCTCAAGCAGAATGTATAACCACCTGAACCACATAGATCTTAGAATCAAAACACAAGGGTTTACTTGCAGAACACAGCATGTCCATATCTACAAGCACTTTACCTAAAGCATTTGTTTCTAAAAGGGGTTATGGGTAGAAACTAACTACCAGTTGCTGTTGTGCAAAGCAGACTTAAAAGCTCTTTTAAGGCAGCAGAATTAAGCACTGCTATGCATTAAGATTATGGTCTCATGCCAGTGTTACATGCCATGTTGTTACAGGGCTAACAAGTGGTAGGAAAAGTACAACCTCAATTAGTAAAACATTCCTGAGTCACAGTTTAGCACTCCAGACCTGTTCCACTTTGCAAAAACTACCAGGGTAATGGGGAAAGGATAAATCCATTTATACCAATTTTACTTCAGAGTACAGTCTATTACTTTGGTACACTGTAAGACCTAACTCTGAAAAGGAAGAGTAAATCTTTAATATTTTACCCATAAGTCTTATCCGTAAAGGGTGAGGAGCAACACTATCAATTTCTGTGCCTAACAAGTCTTTAGCAACAGCAAATATTTCCTCCTCAGTAGAAACTGAAGACAGCACACTTGAAGCTCTTGTTTTTACTTCAAAGTTTACATTCTTCAACTTCAAGGTAACAGTTTTACCCTAACCAATAAAAAAAAGAAAGAAAAAAAAAAGGTTAAGCATGCCATACACAGCACAGAAACAGTTACTATTCAGCATCTATATAAGGGCCTTAAAGCCATAGTCAAGACTGTGCTTATCTGCATACAGCAAGCTGCACTGCCAAGAATTTGTCTGCAAGATTCTGCACTTGCTCCTAAACTGCTGCCAAAGTCGAATTCTCTAAAGTGGGTCATTTGGCTACAGTTCCCAGCAGACCATCTGCCACCAGTGAATGTTCAACAGATTTCATGCTCTGGCTACAGACACAACTTCCACTCTATCTGCAAAAAATCATGTCCTCACTTGGAAACTTTCAGTGCCAGGTAACTTTGCTGGAAAAACTACAAAGGATGCAGAAGTGATATCCAATTACGGATTCGCTGAAAACTTCCCTCCTCTTGCATGGTGCTATCAGAGCAACGCACAGAATCTGTGTTTGGCACAGACATTCTCCTGGTAACACCTTCCAAACCATTTGTGTGATTTACTGTTGTCCATCCAATTGTAAATAAATGACACTCCTTTTGTTCTGGTGCCTTTGTACCCTTATCCCTTTGTCCTTCCTAGCTGATGATTTCACTTTCAATCTGTTATCTTCTGAGACAAACAATCTTTTATGGCTGAAGATGACTAATCACAATTCTTTCAGGTCTTGAATGTTATTCCTTGTTTTACCATAAAGATCTCCATAGAAAATACGAACTGTTCTTTCTAGATAATAAACAAAAATTTCAGAAGAAGGAATACAGGGACTGTTGCTAGCATTCCTACCATTGAACGGCACGAATAACTTGACAGCAAGTTTGAGACATGTGAACTTCTTAAACTACACTACCGGCTATTGACTAGATCCTGTATGAATGCAGGAGAGAAACTCAGTGTTTTAAGCACATTAGCATTACATGATAGACCAAACCACGGCTCATAGACAATCAGCTCTATTCTTTTTTTAGAAGCATTGCTTTCAGCATAAAATGTTTATGTGCTAAATAACTTGGTTAATTAGTTTATTTTTTTCCACATGTATTAGACCACTTGAACAATATCAAAATGCTGTCTAAATCATCCTAAACATCTGCAAATTAATTAATGGAGACCTCTGCAGATAGATTGCATGGTATGATGTTGCTGAAAGCATTCACACTAACGCTGCATTTAATAAGTTTGAGTGCAAAGTGTTGGTTTTTTGGAACAAACAGAGAATAATATGAATACCTTAAGTCCTTCTTTTTGTAGCTCTTGAGCAAGGTCTCTGCAGAGCTCTCGACACAAGCTGTACTGGTCTTCTGCTGTGTTGATTTCACTGAATGTTCTAAGATAAAGATACGACCTTTTTTTCAGTATGAATCCTAAAATTTGTTCAGTGGCTGCCATCTAAAAGTATTTTTTGTACAGTTAAACAAAACTAGATCAGAAGAAGGTTGTATAGGCTTGAGTATTTACTTGAAGGAAAAATGAATATTAATACAAATATTATACAGAAAGATTTGTGCACATTTATATGTTTCAAAAAGTTTGCAAGCCCTTCAAATAATGAAATAATTTGGCTTTCAATTTTTCATTATTTGAAATGAATCCGATTTAAGGTCATTAATGCTTAAACATTTGCAAGAGAGAATACTAACACCAACTGAATTCATGGAGCCAGCCAAGTTATTTGTATTTCATCTCCTTTGTACAGTGCTGTGTAACATCAGAAGAAAGAAAGGATTAGGAAGTCAACATCAGAGCCAAGTATCAGAAATAAATAATGCAGATGCTAACAAAAAGATGCCAGCTAGGATAATTATGTCTGGCCTCAGAGGAGGAAAAACTACTTTTCTGCCAAAAACGTTGCTAACTGCCTAGCAAAGGCAGTTCTTAGTAGAGCAGCAAAGTACGTCTTCATAGGGGAATTACAGGATTTTTTTTTGTTGTGCATCTGCTTTTTAGCAATAAGAGGAAAGGCAATGTTCAGTTAGTAGAGGTTTTAAGAGATGTGGGAAGCAAAACTTACAGCTGCTAGATGCTTTCGGAAAGGTCTCGCAGAGCCACTGTTTCATGTCAGGCTTTATATTTATGAGTGTAAAGTCCCTATAACTGCACTGGATTTCACATCTCTAAGTTATATTCAGGTTTACCAGACCATATTGAAAAGTCATCCTTTATTATGATTCATATTACCCTAAGAATGTTTGCATGCTGCCAAACTAACAGGATGAATGTTTTACTCTGGGTAAAGAAAGAAAAGCAGAAAGGGGCAATAGGCCACCCAGATTATCTCTCTGCCTGCAAACCAGCACAAGATTACAGCCATAAATTTCTCAGCTCTGGTGGTACCAAACCTTATGGGCCTTACTTAAGCTGCCCATAACTATTAAGCTTCAATAGTAATAAGAATATTTTCTTATCTTCTAAGAAGAGACAACACATGAGGGTAGGGGTGATTATTACAGTGCTCTACAGATTCTCCTTGCAGTATTTCCTTTTCAAAAATGAACTTTTGGAAATTACATACACCACTTACTTAAGGAACTTCACACTGATAAAAACGTAAAAGGAAATCTAACCAATTTCAGTTAACCATGAGAAATTATTGTCTGCTTTGCAAGACTACCTTACGCTGTACTTGCTATGCATGTGACTACAGACTACTAGACTGATATTGACATTAAACAGGAATATATAAAAGAAAATTCAAGCCTCTATATATTTCCGCCCTATATTATGGCTTAAAGACCACTTCGATGCATTAAAGGCACTAGGAGAACCAGATGATGAGAAGAGAGAACACACAAATCGATAGAAGTACCTCCATAGTATTCTGAAGCCAAGGAAAAATAAAAGGAAGCTTGACTGATTTAATGAGCTTGTTGTATATGCAGATTTTTAACACATAAATACAATAAAATTATATGACTAAGAAAAGTATACAGTACTTGGCATTAAGTATGTTTAGTGGTTATTGTAATTTTTCTCAATATTAAAAAGACATACCTTTCAGTGCTCATACTTTTTCTTTCTCCATCCCTTTAAAAAGAAAAATAATTTATTATACTCACTTTACCTAGAATTGTTATCTTTACAATAAACAATGAGTCAACCAATCATGCTTCAATAACTAATAGCAGTCTCTTCTACAAAATGTGGATGTAAAGTTTTTCTACACATCTTGTATATTCAGTTTAAGTGAGTGCCAAATGGAGAATTTTTTTAAAAAAAACCATAAACTACTGTAGATGAAATAAAGACACACATCAGCCTCAGACATCAATAAACAGTGCATAAAAAACGAAACCAAAAAAACCTCCCACAAACCTCCGCTCTCATATCAGGAGTCTTGTTTAAAAACTAACTACAAATTCTATGCTGTCTCACCTAGGTATAGCTGTGAAACACTGCTATTAAAATCCTGAACGCGTCATCTATGTTTGAATATTTGCTTATCTGAGGAATTAGTTTGCTTTCTCTCTGAATTATTACCCAGGTTAAAGGTGATGTGTTAAAACTTTTTTTGTTTCTTTGTTTCTCTTTTTCTTTCTGGATTTGACTGAGCATCCTTTAACAACTCTTCTGCTTAGAAGGTGTTCCACAGAACATTTCCTTTTTAAGTCCTCCTTCTGTTTCTACATATTGGAAACAACAAATCTGGTATTCTCAGATTTTCCTAAAAGAAGGTGGTCAATGACCATAAGAGGAACCATCTATTGAGGACTCAGGGTGTTAAGGGATTGCTTTCTCCATGCTAAAATCACTGAAATCAAGTTAGTGCTAATAAAAATAAAACCAATAAATAAATTTCTTAGACAACAGCATTAAAATGTTTTCCCCTTCACAATGATAACCTTGGCTTTTGAAATGCGTTTTTTTTTTTTTTAAATGTACTGGGAGATTTCCCAGAATGTACAACACCTAAACAGAGTGAATATGGGAAGAGAGTGCACCAATTATTAAAGGACCATTTGAGGTTACATTATCTTAACAGACACAAATATTTGGACAATCATATTTTATCTTTTATCAAGTCACCTTCACAAAGTCAGTCTTACAGGATATTTTGTTTCAAGTCAACATACTTCTGAAAAGGAAAAAAACCCACAAAACCAAAACAACTGCAATGTGCTAGCACATTACTGGTCTACAAATTGCTAACTGTATATTTTGTAGTCAAATGGCAAAAATAGAAGATCTATTACTGTCAGAGAAGTAACAGAAATAATGTAAAATAGGCCTTTCAGAAGTACTTAAGACACTTTACTTTAGAACTCCTAATGAAACCAAATCATTGTCAAGCTATTTTTAAATAGAATTTCAGCACTTTGGGAAGGATAGAAGAATATTTAAGGAAGGAATATCTAAAAGAAAGGACTCAATCCTAAATTAAGATTCTTGATTACACAAACAGCAAAATGCTACTTTTTTTTTTTTTTTAAGAACAAGTGTTCCATGTTTTTATCCAGGGCAGGCTTCGAAATAACACATCTTATTGAAAAGATGTATTCACTAGTAAGACTGATTTCTCCCCTCCCAAACAGGAGGCTAAAAAAAATCATTAAAGTAGTATGAAGCCTAAAGGAACAGATATGAAGGAGGATATAAAGGTCTTCGGTTCTATTCCAGCAAAGTCACAAGTTGATAATACAAACGTGTACCCAAACACGATAGGAGACACAGAAACTTCACTCACTTTCATTAGAAATATGACAATTTACCACCAGAGAAGATCAGATACCAATGCAATTTTCATTACAATCAGATAATAATAAAAACCAACGAATGTATATTGTTTTTACAAAAGAAACATGACTAAACACCTCTGCTTAGGATAACTCATTTCTCTTCAGCTATTTTAGTAATTACGAGGTTAGCCTAAATGATACTGACTTGATTTCTTGATAAACGCTTACGCACAGCTTCTCTGACAGACTTTTTGGATTTTGTATATTAGACACGGCTGTACAAACTTTTGCTCTCCAATGTTTGGCTGCTGTCTGTATCTTAGCCATAAGTATCACAATAACAGGTATTAGCAATCCTTTAAAATATTTTAAACAAGTAAAATTTTTGTCATATTTGTTCATCAATGAAATAGGTCTTAAAATGTACGGTATGTAACATACACAAGGAAAAACTTAGAAAAATGTAAACAAAGGAGAAAAAAATCCCCAAAACACACTTTTCCAAACGCGTTGAACCCAAACCAAGGGAAATATCCAAGAAATTACGCCAAGATGCTTCTGAGAAAAGAAGAGAAAGCAGTGCCCTCTGCTGGTAAAGTTCTGAGCAAGTTACAATTCCAAGGGCTCTTAACATCTTCTCTGTTACTTTTCCTATACCTGGCACCTGAAAAAGAATAAGAATCATTACGTTGGAAACTTTCCATTTGTAGATTCAACACTAAGAACAATTTAAATCAAACACAACTGGGCAGATTACCTAGAAAAGTGTATTTCTTGAGTAAAAATATTGCTTTTAGAACACAAGAAATATACACGATTGTCGTGGTTTTAGGCTGATCCAGCAACTAAAACTCACACAGTCTCTCCTTCTCCAATAAAGTAGAGAGGAGAGAAAAAAAAAAAAAAA